AGGGAGGGGCTTTGAGTGGCGTGGGTTTTTTTGTTTTGGCAAATTGGAAGGATGTTCTCTTCTGAGACTGTCATAAAGAGAAGATCAGCTAGTTGCTACTCAGCCTCTCTGTGCTGGCAGGTTTTCAGTCCAGCCTTGGACTCCTGAGTCTTACTGATGAATAGGATGATGGAGATTTAATTGTAAGCTACATTTTGGGGCAGCAACATAGACAGTGCCGTGGTAAACAGAATCCCCAGAGCCTTTGCCATAGAAACAGGCTGGTAACTACCGCATTTGCTGGTGAAATAGCAGTTGATTAACACAGCCTCTGTGCCGATGAAAACATGACAGTTATGAATGAACAGACAAAACCATGAGCAACTTGGTAGTGACTGTAAAACACTATCTCAAGGAAAGGCTGGCTATCGGGTGACCTAGATACAACAGAGAATTCCTCACCCTTGTGGGAAGTTTCAGGTTAAGGTGCTGGCAGATTTGAGATCTGGTGAGAGTCTGTTTCCTGGTTTGTGGACATTCACTTTCTTCTTGTGTTTTCATGTAGTGAAAGGTTGAAGGGCTTATCTCTATTACTTAGCCAGGGCACTAATCTCATTCCCCCTAAAAGCCCTCTCTCAAATTTTGTCAACAAGGTGGCCAGCTTTTCAACCTGTGAATCAGAGGGAGAAGGTGTAAATATGTAGTTCCTTTATATGTGTGGACTGTAGGTGCAATTGTCTGTATGTGTGGATGTCTGTACATGCGTCTCTCTGTAAGTGTGGAGGCCAGAATCAGATCTTCCTCTGTTCCTTTATGTGTAGTGATATCTTGTTTGTACTCTAACAAATAAAGCTTGCCTGAAGATGAGAGGGCAGAGCTGGCCACTGGCTAACCATAGAACTCTAGAGGTCTGTACAGACAGACAGGAAGAGATACGGCTGTGCAGAGAGAGAAACATAAGGTGGGAGGAGACAGTAGTTTGACCCTTTTTTTCTGCTGAGGAATTAGTAAGGTAAGAGTTGTCTGTGGCTTGCTCCTTTCTCTCTCTGATCTTTCAGCATCTGTCCTAATATCTGGCTCCGGGTTTTTAATTATTAAGACCAATTAGAACTTGTGTAACAATTGTGCCCAACTTTATGGTGTGAATTCACGAAAAAGCCACTTGTCTGTGACTTTGCAGTCATTAGCACTCACAGGGGCTCCCACCAAAGTCACCACCCCGCCAGCTAGGTTTTCTTTTCTATTTTTCTCCAAACCTCTGCTTTTCATTTGGTCAGATATAACTTGCCAAAAGGGAACTTCCCAAAATTAAGGTTAGGGAAGGGCATTGTTTCTGTCTTTGAGAATAAAGGTATCTAGCTAAGGAATCTGAAGATCACTGGTCAAATGAGACATCTGAAGAAAATGGACAAATCATCCAGAGAAAATATCCCAAGAAAAAAAGTAATTTGACCATTGGCATATCACATTTCCAACAGGACAAAATTTCATAAATCTTTCCAAATATCACATTTCCAGCAGGGACTCTCTGGTGAGGGTCTTTCTAAGTAAGAAAATGGGGAGCTAGAAAGATGGTTCAACATTTATGAGCACAGACCGCTCTTGCAGAGGGTTTGAGTTTGGTCCTGAGTACCCACATTGGGGGGTTACTCATTACCAGTCCAGCTTTAGGGATCTGACACCCTTTTCTGACCTCTGTGGCACTAGGCTCACATGTACCCACCCCACACAGATACACAGTTGAAAATGAAAATAAAAGGCAGGGCACGGTGGTATATGCCTTTCATCTCAGCACTCAGAAGGCAGAGGCAAGCATAGGTGAATCTTTGTGAGTTCAAGGAGAAGCCTTGTCTACAGAGCAAGTTCTAGGACAGCCAGGAGGTATAAAGAGAAACCTTTTCTCTATAAGCAAATAAACAAAAAGAACCAAAATAAATAAATGATTAAATAAATAAAATATAAGCAAACATGCAAAAAGATAACTGACATATAATGGTCATTACTGTTCAAAAACTAGAAAACAGCAGGATCTTTTTTCTTTGTAATCTGAGTGACACCCAGAGCAGGGGGACCTTGAGTCAGCAAGTTTGGAAGAGGGATACAGGTTGGGAAGTAGCCATGAGCCAAGAAAGGACAGGTCAGCCAGGGGTTGGGAACGCTGCAGGATCAAGGTCCACAAAGCCCAAAGCAGGGTAAGGGGAAGTCAGCTGTGGCAGGAGACTCGCTGAGGCCTGCCCCAGAAACAAAGCCCTTTCTCTTCTCACTTACTCTGCTTTGCCTGGCAAGCATGCGGCTACCCCAGGGCCTGGCATGGATTTGGAGTTGGAAGGAGAGGACAGTATGGCTTTTGAGTCAGACAGATAGCAGGGGTATGATTTTTCCAGGGGGTTCCTCTCTCTTAGCGAGGCTGAAGTCTGATTCATAGGTAAACCAACCTTGCACAATGGCTTTAAAGAGTGACTGCCGTTTTTGACCAGACCGTCAGGCAGTTTTCTAATGAATTTCATTCAGAATTGTGCTACTTAACATTAGGTGCACATTAGACTCGTTAGATGGAACTTAGAACAAATACTAGTGCCAATGCCCTACATGAATTAAATTCTTCAGTTGGTCTGAGGGCTAAGTATTGATATGTTTTACAAACGTCTCAGGTGATTCTAGTAAGTAGCCACAAGGTTGGAACCACTGGTTTGAACACTTGAAAAGTTGAAATCAACTAATTTTTTTGAGAGATGGTTTCATGTAGCCTAGGCTAGCCTTCCTCTTTGATTTCATTTCCTGATGTGGTATGCCCTTCTTTAGGCTGTGAATATGTCTTATTACCATTGGTTAATAAAGAAGCTGATTTGGCCAATAACCAGGCAGAAGATAACTAGGTAAGAAATCCAAGGGGAGGGGAGTGGAGGAAGGGGAGCAGAGTCAGGGAAACACCAGCAGCTGCTGGAGAAGCCACATGTGAGGTAACAAGCCTCGAGCTTCATGGTAAAATATAAACTAGAAATGACTTAATTTAAGATGTAAAAGTTACTTAATAAGCCCGAGCTAATAGGCCAAACAGTTTGTAATTAATATGAAGCCTCAGAGTGGATATTCAGAAACTAATAGACGGGAGAAAGACTTCCACCTACAATGTACCAAGTGCTGGAGTTACAGGCATGCACCATCATGCCTGGCTTAGTCAATTTTAAACAGGATTGTTTAATGTGATTCTTTAATACATAATGAAATTATTTTCAGGGCACATTGTCTTCATAGAACTTTCTCGGTACTAATTCGATGACAAACCTGTAGTTGATTTATTCTTCTAAATTTCTGTTGAAACGTTGTACTGTCATTGCCTTTGTCCACATCACATCCCAGAGGTTTGGTGGAGTAATCCCATGCCCCTTTGCCCTTTATGTTGTGTTGTCTGGGGCAGCCTGTCAGGCCCTGAGCTTATGGGGAAAGATTCCAGGGCATCTTATTGTCATGAGACTTCGGTTGATCTGTGGCAATTCAACAAGGAAATCAGTGTGAGCTTCACAATAATTAGTAACAAGAGCCTCTTCCTGTTTCATTTGAGCAAAAGGTTAAAAGTATTACATCCTCTATCTTAGGCTTCTATCTAAAAAAAAGAACATTTATTGCGTATTTCTGTGCCTGTGTACCACGTGCATACAGGAGCCTATACAGAGGCCAGAAGAGGTGTCCAGTCACAGATGATTGTGAGCAGCCTTTGGAGGGCTGGAAACTGAACCCAGGTCCTCTGCAGGAGCAGCAAGTTCTCTTGACCCGCCAAGCCATCTCTCCAGCCCCTTAGGCTTCTATTTAAGATCGTTTTTAAGGCCTTAAAGACGACAAGAAAGGAAGAAGACTCATTGATGTACAGAATTGGGAGTCTTGGTGTAATTTAAGGTCACGAATTCAACCAATTCTTGAGACTAAAATCTTCCCAAGATCACACAGCAGGACAGACCCGAAGATGGGTCCGAAGACTGGGAGACGGGTCGGGTCTAGAATCGGAAGCTTTATTCCTAAATCCTTTCTGATAAAGGTGGCCACCTGGCCATTTTACTATCTCTGAGCGATATCCATTATTTTTTTTTCTTTTCACATCATGAACTGACTTTCTGCAGTCAGGCTTCTCAGACTGTCCTGTAGTTCTCATCAGTCCTGTTAACTCTGGTGTATTTTCTGTTGATTCACGCATCACCATTGATGTGCATTTACTAAATGATTGTTGGTGTCCAGGCTCTAATACGAATCCCCGAAACAGAAGCGGCCTCTGCTCAGCGGAGGGCCCACTTGGAATGGAATCTAGGAGCCAGTCTATTGGGTTGCACTTCTGAGCTCGGTGTTGTCTATGCTTAGACTGGTAGGAAATGTACCCAGGTAAGAAAGGAATGTCAGGTGGATTCGGGGACTTGTCCAAGCTTTTCTAGGAGCTAATGGAAGGAAGGACCGGTTTGCATGTCACGGAAGATTCGAAGGGCTGCACAGAGGGTGACTAGCCAGTCTAACCAGACTCAATCTAGCACAGGGTCCGCCCGAGGTCGCAAGTGTAGGATGCAGGCGGGACACAGGAGGGGCCAGTGGGAGAGGCAGAGGAGCGGAGGAGAGCGATTGAGATCGAACGAGGAGAGAAAGCAGCGGGGGAGGAGCTGCAGCAGACGCGGCAGAACTGCCAGCTGAGAGCTCAAAGAAGAAAGGCTCGAGGCAGGGGGCGAGGCTAGTGGGCGGGACCGGGGCGGGGCCTGGGCGCCATTCGGAGAACTACAGAGGGAGGCGGAGTCGGGGAAGGAACGTAAGGGGCGGAGCCTGGGGGGGGAAACCCGGGACAAACTACAGGAGGTGGAGTCGGCGGGCCGGGGGAGGAGCCTGAGTAAGGGCGGTGCCTAGGGGAGAGGGGCGGAACTACCGGAGGTAGAGTTGCACGGCAAGGGGAGGAACCTGGGAGGAGGCGGAGTCTAGGGGGAGCCAGGATGAACTAAAGGAGGTGGAGCCTCAGGGTAGGGGGCGGGGCCTGAGTAGGGTAGCTGCGGGGGAGCGGGGAGAGGCCTCTAGGGCCGCGGCCGCCCAAGCGTGATCTCTGCCGGCGGGTCAGGCCCCGGGGTGCTTCCCCTCCCTGTTCCTCAGAGCCGTGGGTCCTCGGCCTCTCCACCAGGCACGGCTCTCGTGGTCGCGGTGGAGGAGGAGGACGTTTGCACAGCTCCCCGGCGGGCCGCTGCTGTGCCCGGACCGGGGACCGCCGCCTCCCCGGAACGCGTGGGGCCGGTATGGAGCTCTTCCAAGCAAAGGACCACTACATCCTGCAGCAGGGCGAGCGCGCACTGTGGTGCAGCCGGCACGACGGCGGCCTGCAGCTCCGACCGGGTGAGGCGCTCGGCGCGGGCTGGGTGGGGCGAGCCGGCCAGCTGGAGCGCAGTGGGGGGGCGCGGCCTGGGCCCCCCCGGAGCAGCGACTGGGAGGTTGGGCCGGCTGCTTGGAAATGTCAGCTCCGGTCCTGAGGGGCGCGGCCGCCTCCTTGGTGCGCACTCCAGTCTCTGTGCGGCGGGAAAGGCCGGTCACCCCCCTTTAGTGTGCCTCCTCCAGTATCTGGGGCCTGGGGAGGGGGGACCGGGTCCCTCAGGCCTCCACCTGCGCCGGCTTCACGCCGTCCAGCGCGGCAAAGTTCTGGGTTCGAATTCCATGTAGTTCAGTGGAAGCCTTGGCGGGACGCTCCCTGTTGACATCCTTGTGTTGTTCCTGGTCCCTTATTAAAGAGTGACTTCATGAGGGTTACCTCACAGCACTTGATCGAAAGCTCCGTGTATGACTTGCCATTTTCGAGAAGAAATTGTGTCGGCTGTCACTTAAACGGTTAGGAGAGGTCAAAAGCCTCCATCATTTGCCTTGGGAAACTTTGCAGTCGGGTTAGGCAGCAGCACCTGTCCTCAGACAGCTGCTGTCTCCCTATCTCTCTGGGGAGTCTGGGCAACTTCTGCTTAGTTGCCAGTGCTTTTTTCTTATCCACTCAAGAGCTTTTGACTTTAGGAAAAGTGAGACTGGAACTCTTGAAAGAGCCACCCTCGGAAGTTTACCTGTATTCCTGGAGTGCATCTAGTGTAACAGCTTCAAAGGGACTTTTCTGGACATCTTGTTACCACTTAGGTAACAGGTCCTTTAGTATGTGAGCCCCACTCACCATGGCAGCCTGAGGAGCAGGGTCGGGATATTCCTTTCCAGGGGACATTCAATACAGAAGGGCACTTTAGTGACCTCCCGGACACTTTTCGGCCGAATCTCCTGTGTCATCACGAAGGCCTGCTATGTTGCTCTGAAGGAGAACGTTTTTTTTTTCCTTCTCCAGAAATACGGTTCTGGCTGTATTTCCTTGCCACTGTATTTTATGTCCTCTTTTCAGAACGGAGACACTACCTTATCCACAAGACTCCTGGTGACCTTGGGATAGATGATATAAGTAGGCTAGTTTAGGCTAGTCTCTTGCTTTCTTCTTTACCCCAATTTGACTACTTTCCTAGCCTGCCACCCGTGTGAGGTTTAGAGCAGGGAGAATTAGGCTGTAAAATTCCCAAGAGCTGGTTCCTGGGAGCTGGAATGCAGGACTGAATGGAACTTGAAGTCCTTATCAGCTCATCAGACAGGACGAAATTTCCTGTGCCTCGGCAGTTTCCTCAACCAGAAGCTTAACCCCAGCCTTTTTTGGAATAAGCCATTTGGTTTGGGTTACACTTTGTCCAAAGTCCATATCAGAAAGCAAAGTTAACACTTTCCCCCATAATAAAAAAGTTTGTTCTAGCCATTACAATTAAGTTTTCTTTTATTTCTTAGATATGTAGCCCATTCCCCACAAACATGGACCACAAATCTAGAGGAAGGCAGAGGCCATCATATTTCAGAATAGGTAGGCTCTTGTGAGCCTTAGGTGTTCAAGTTGAGTACATGGTGCATCCTTGTAGTTACTAAATAGTTTAGTCTGTTCAATACTCACGATTCTAAGAATAGCTATTTTAGTAATAATGTTTAATTGGCGTGAATGCTCTTCAGATCTTTTATCTGTACAGTTATTTCAAATCCTGTTTTTTCTATTGAACATTTTCCTCTGTTTTTATGGCCAGGTTTGCTCTTGTTTGAAGTGACAACAGTTAAAATCTTAGTCGTCCCCCCCCCCCCCCCCCCCCCGTTATTCAACAACTGAGCAAACTACTGACCAAGTTTGTTTCACCACGGGTGGTATTATAAGACCAAGCAGTGCTGGGAATTGTGATTTTTTTTTTTTTAACGTGTGACTACTAAGTGACCAGAAACAAGAAATTTTCTTTTTTTCCTGGAGACATAAGAAAAATAAGTGATGCCGGCGGTGGTGGCGCACACCTTTAATCCCAGCACTAGGGAGGCAGGTGGATCTCTGTGAGTTCAAGGCCATCCTGGTCTACAAGAGCTAGTTCTAGGACAGGAACCAAAAGCTACGGAAAAACCCTGTCTCAAATACCAAAAAAAAAAGAAAAAGAAGTGATAATGATAGTTAAGCTTAACATGAGCATTTCCAAAGCTCAGAATCCCTGCTATTCTCAGTTCCTGCCTGCCTAGGTCATTCATTGTGTGTGACTTCTGTTCGAGGCCACCCACCCTGTACTAGTCTAGCCTGCATCCATCGGGCAGAGTTATTGGTCACGTTTGTTTTGTTTCTTGATGTTTTCTATACTTTGTACACTTGCAGTTATAATCCTCCCTTTCTCCATTAACCTGTGTCTTCTCAGTTGGCATTATTTCCTCATCACAGGCTTTGCTTTACTAATAATCTTGGTGTCTCTGGGCTGAAGAGTGTTTGTAATCAATCCAGAACATACTTTATGATTGAGTTAACCTGAATTAAACATAACTTCAAGTTTCCTCACATTTAAATCTTTGTTGTAAAAATAAGATGATCTCTTATGTTCGTTTTAGGCCTCATCCTGATTCCCCATCCCCCTCTTGCTCTATAGCCCAGGCTAGCCTGAAACTCACAGTGTCGCTGATCTCAAACTCACAATGCTTTGACCTCTGCCTCCTCCTGGATTACAGTGTGACCTATGATACCTAGCTGAGTGATTCTCTCTGTCTCTCTTTTGTTTTGTTTTTGTTTTTGGGTTTTTTTTTTTTTTTTTTTGAGACAAGGTTTCTCTGTGTAACAGCCCTAGCTGTCCTGGGACTAGCTTTGTAACCAGGCTGGCCTTGAACTCACAGAGAGCCTCCTGCCTCTGCCTCCTGAGTGCTGGGATTAAAGACGTGCACCACCACTCCTAGGCTGAGTGACTCTTTTTAAAGATTTGTTTAGGCCGATAGTGGTGGTGATCACTTCTAATCCCAGCACTCAGGAGGCAGAGGTAGGTGGATCTCATCTCTGTAAGTTTCAGGACAGCCAAAACTACGTAATAGAAAGACCCTGTCTCAAACAAACACTCAAAAGAAACAAAAAAAGATTTATGTAATTGAGTGGAAAATCTTTGTTCAGTTCATTGAGAAATGTTAGAGCTTAAACTTTTGATTTTTTTTGTGATAGGATTCCTTATTTTTTTTTGACACTTTAATTTTTTTAAGGAAAAAATTGAACGTAAATATTTGTCTGTTTTTATTTTCCTAACAGAAGTGAGTAGTCTATGTTTTTGTAAATCATTGAGCTTTTGGTTTGTTATTTTTCTTTTTAAGATGCTTATCACTATTGCAAGTTAATGGCCACCAGAAAAAAAGTAATTAGGTTGTTTTAACTTCTCCCAGGAAAGAGTTGTGTAAATATTCAGTAATCTCCAGAGAGTAGAGTTTAATGTCTGACACTAAGAATTATAGTTTAATCGAAAGGATGCCAGGAGAAGGGGAGAAAGGAGGAGGGTGATGGGACACATGAGACAGCAAAGCAGAAAAGAGGTTCTGGGAGTTGGGTCAGAGGGCACAAGGGAAGACCAGGGGCATGGACAAGATCAGGGAGGAGGAGAGTAGGCTGAAACATATTTTGCTTGAAAATACTGTAACACACACACACACACACACACAGGCAAATCCAGTAATTTGTATGTTAATTAAAAATAAAAAATATATTTACTACATATATATTTAAAAAGATTTTAGTTTAAGAAATTAAAAAACAACATATAATCCACTATTGGAAATAGTTATGTAGTCTTTTTCATTTAAAATTGCTTCCACTCTTTTGGCTTTGTGTGATGGGGCAGTGTTACATAATTTATTTCTGTGTGTTACCTCATTCTATTCCGAGACTGAGTGACCATGAGAGATCTCAGAGCACCTGCTGTACACACAGCATTTATAAACGCATGGTCCATATATAGCAAATGGTACTTTAAATAATACACAGTAGTGAGCATTTTTTCTTCCCTTTTTCTTTTCTCTTTCTCCCCACTACCCCAGGGGATACTAGCTGTCAGAATTCACACCAAGTTTTCCTGCCCGTCTTACAGTTTTGGCAATCCAATTATTTTCCCTTTTAGAGGGAAGTGGCTTTTACATGTTGCTTTGTACTTGTGGAGGTCAGGACAACTTGTGGCCATTCTCTCCTTCCACCTAGGGATCAAACGTCGATTGTCGGCTTAGTGGCAGTCACCTTTATCATTTTGCCAGCCTGAAATTATTTTTCACTGTCAAATGAAGTTAACTTTTTAAAATGGGAAATTATTATAGAATTGAAATCCATATAGAATACTAACCTCTGGAGGGCTGTTGTGTGAAACTGTATTCAGTTTATTTAGTATTTTGTGTCCTGCTGTTATACACACACACACACACACACACACACACACCCACACTATTTTTGTTACCTATATAGTATACTGTCAACACGGTAGCAGTTGGGCTGAATGAGTCTTTACATTTAGTTTGTTATCTGCATCTTCACCCAAGATTGATACCAGCGTACAGTAGCAGCTTTTACTTGTTGAGCATTTCTGAGCCAGACAGTGCTCCGTCTCTATCTATTATTCCATTTTCATCCCGCAGTAAAACTCTGGAAGTTAATTTTGTTAATAACTTCTTCTGTTACAGATGAGAACGTTGAAGCATAAAGGAATAATTTCTCCAAATTCTTGGAGGAAGAGGGAGAGCCAAGGCTTCTGCTCCAGTATATGGCTTCAGTCATATTCTTCAGTACTGACAATATTGTTTTATAAAGCTGGGCGTGGAGGTACATGCCTTTAATCCAAGCACTCAGGAGGCAGAGGCAAGGAGGCAAGGATCTCTGTGAGTTCAAGGCCAACCTGGTCTACAGAGTGAGCTCTAGGACAGCCAGGATAATACAGAGAAACCCTGCCTTGATAAAACAAATATAATGAATATATAAATAAATAATAAGCCTCTCTACCTTGATGACTGTGAGGCTGTAA